ATAACATGAGAAAACACAACTAGGAAGTACTATGAAGTTGGCAGTGATACTCAATAAGATCTTCTTGGAGATGAGTATGAACTTATCAATTCTCGATCCTGCGATGCCCTTCAAGGGATGCTGGATCCTATTAGGATCATACTTTGGCTCAACAGGAGTCTCATTGGTCATGTAACGAAAGTTCTCAGGCATATCCCTCTCATATTCAATGATCATGTTATGCAATATGATGCAACAAATCATGATTTTCCACAGAACCTTTCGAGATCCAGTACTCGGCAAGGCCACAAACAATTGCAAAGCGCTTCTGAAGCACACTGAAGGCTCTATCCACATCTTTCCTAGCCGCTTCTTAACATTGGGCAAAGTGAATATTTTTGTTACCTTTTGGACGCAGAACTGTTTTGATAATGTGGCCCATGGGGGATAGATGTCATTCGCAAGGCAGTAACCCATCGAGTAGTTGTGACCATTTACCCAATAGTTGCAAGCAGGAGCATCTCCTGTAATAAGCCTAGAAAACAATGGTGATTTCGACATCACATTCAAGTCATTGTGAGAGCCAGACAAACCAAAGAATGAATGCCATGACCAAAGATCCTTCGTTGCAACTGCCTCAAGAATGATCATTGGATTGTTGCAGTGGCCTTTTTACTAACCCTTCCACCCTACAAGATAATTCTTCCATGTTTAGTGCATACAGTGAAGTAATCCAAGCATCCCTGGTCATCCTCTTGCTTCACTCCCTGTCATCAACCTCTGGGTATCTTCCTCATTGGGTGCCCTCAAGTACTCTGGTCCAAAAATATCGACCACTGCTTTAGTGAATCTTCGAACAACCTCCAAGATTGTGTCTTCACAAATGTGGGCATAGTCGTCAATTGCATCGGTCGAACACCCATATGCCAAAACTCAAATAACCACAATGAACTTCATCAGAGGGCTTGCATTTATCTCTCCGCATGCATTTCTCCGAAGCTTGAACCGGTCATCATACTTCTCAACTGCTTTTGCAATGGTCGGAAAAAGACTTGTGTGCATCCGAAAGCGCCGGCGAAAGTACTTCTCCGGATAGGTTGGATTTGGATCAAAGTAGTCTCTCATGATCTTGGCATGGTCCTCCACTCTATCAATGTTGATTTGTATGCGGCCAACGATCATCCCCTAGGCCGCCGAATATTATCATTGAAAATCATGTCAAGAAAGGTTTCAAACTCTTCGTCGTCTTCTTCCTCTTCGGATGACGACAAGTCCTCGAAGACCATCTCCCTCAACCTCTTCATCTTCAATCCAAATGGCTCGGTTCAAAACGAAATGAAAAAGAACTCACTTAGGCAAATCGCCGAACACTTGCAAGGCGGTGGTGGTGCACCGGCCGGCTGGCGTACTTTAGGACAAACTAGCGTGCGACAAAGCGTGGGAATGACCTGCAATGGTGTCCAAGCAAGGTCAGGTGAGGCGGCTGCCAAAGAGGAAGACAATTCGAAGCAATCCGACGAATCGGCTATGGCGACTGCGGCGGCGGCGTTTCATCTTGATTCCGGCGACGACAACGGGCGGCGAACGGGCTTGGAGTCAGGTAGAAGGGCGGAGAGGGCCAAGGGAGGCAATGAGGTAGCGGTGGACGATCGCCGGGAGGTGCGACGGCAAGGAGGCAATGGCGGGGGGAGAGGCGCGGGAGAGTTTGAATTTTTCCTCCGAGCGGTAGCGGCCAAGTAAATTTAGGCGCCGGATAGAAGGCGGAGTAAAAATTATGCTACTCTATTTGGCTTAGGGGATCGGCTAGGTGCCGGTTAGAGGAGTAGAACCGAAATTTTATTCTTCTAAAGCCGGATAGGGGATCGGCTAGAGTTGGCCAAAACTATTACAGTATTTCTTAAAGAGAAACAAGCAGGGGCTCTGGCCTCTTATGTTGGTACTTGGAAGCTTCAAGTTTGTGTACTAGCAGACAATGCTTGAGCACAGAAATGGTGCCTAGTTCGCAAGACGACTTAGCTGGCTTCCAAAAGACCTGGTGCCTAGTTCTGGCTGGCGTCCAAATTTATCTTGCACTTTGGTACATTTTTCTTTTCAAAAAGGAGAGAGCCCCCAGGCCTCTTTTGGTCTTTTTGGTACATGTTAAGGCCAGTTTTTTGTGTTGCTGCTGGTACACGCAACGTCCAAGCGCAATGCTCCTTCGCTGGCTTGTTCCCTTCCCAGCTGATTGGTTCCGTGTCTCTGGTATGAACTTCAAACTGCCCGAAAAAATGCTGATTTTGTTTTCATTTCTCTCTAGTTATATGCTCAAGTGAACTACCTCCTCTCAACCTTCATTTTTTGTTGTAAAATGTTGTTGGCCCGTTCGCCTTCTGTTTTGTCGGTTTTCAGGGGTTTTGTTGTTGTAATTATGTTTCATCTGGTAATCAAGCAATCAAATGAGTATTATGCAAACAAGTTATACTTTGGATGTTCAACACAAGATAAAATATGTACAGACCGCATGCATGTCTAGAAATCCATTTCCCATTTAATATGTAGTATTTCCTCTGAAGTGTCTCAACTTTATAGTAACTTGTATTAAAGTTGAGACACTTTATTTTGGGACGGAGGAAGTAATAAATAACCTCTCCATCTGCAAAGCAATTCTCTGTTTCGCTGTGTTAACACTCATTTGATTGAGTAGTGAGTGGAGTACAAACCATAGCCGAGCCTTTATGCATACAAACTGATGATATCCACCGTTTCAGATGAGCATATCTCCACGACGTCTTCCTGCCATGTATTCTCACATGATTTGGTGAAGTGTAGCCGTCGACTATCGAAATCGTTAACACAAGACAAAATTAATCTGTCCCATCTTCACAACCCTGCCCACAAATTGGGCTAAGCAGATGTGTGGAGCAAACCGAAAACACAGACAGTGGCCCCTCAAATAGGATAACATTATAAGCACATGTATCATGTACAGTATCGGCTAAGAAATGCAGTAGTCCTCATTTCCCGTATTATCCATCGCACTGTGCGGTTCCAAATTTCCGGTCGAAATGTTGACGCACATCCTAAGAAATACTACATGAGAACTCAGCAAGTGAAACTGAATCATGCCTCGTAGAAGTAAGGTAATAGAATGCATGCCAAATGATAGAAGCTATGCAGACAGACGACCCCCAAAAAATAAATCCTTACTGGGACTAGTTAGTAGTCTGGTTAACCAAGCCAGGTAGCAGTACAACAATTCTATCGCTAATTAGTTACTCCCTCCATTCCATAATTCTTGTCGTGGTTTTAGTTCAAATATGAATGAACTAAAACCACGACAATTATTATGGAACGGAGGGAGTATAAATCAACCCTACAACAGTCTAAGGATGACTTGCAGAAAACCTTATATGTATAGTTATTGCTGTTCAAAAATGCTTCTCTACCATTTAAAGTACACCTGAATGAACAGCAATGGGGTACATAAAAGCAGTTGATAAGCTCAGTGCTTGTGATTTCCCACAAACTGCAATCTTCAAACGTTATAATGAGGTGCATTAATTTCACATCAGTGAAGATTGTTAATATCAGAATGAACTACTACTATTACAAGCACATAATGGTAATCGCTGACCTTTACAAAAACACAATGAGTTGTCTCATGTAAGCATGCCAGCACATGTGCATCATAGATGTAAAAGGCAGTGCATGTGCAAAGGAAGACACTAACAACGATTGATGGAAATGATTGTAAAAAGGATTTGCCTGGACAACAAAACTTACCATTCAAGTTATCCTAAAATCAAAAATCATCAATTAGCTGGTTCAAGTAAGCATGCCAGCGCATGCACATCCTTTGGAACGGTGGAACCTAATTGAACCAAATTCCACTGTGAGAAACATCATGAGCAGTAGCCTACATTTCTATCCGTTAATCACCTAATAACACGTTAAGAAAATAATTTGAAAGCTAGCCAGTTTTCACTGTGTTACGGAGTCAAAATAATGAAAATGTACACAAGTTTTCACAGGTTTCTAGAGAAACCACGGTCAGGGGTAACTTGGTATAATCCATGGATCTTATTTTCATATGTTTAGATTGAACATTGCAATGGAGTGCATCAAGATACACACTCTGTAGTCCTACATTGCGAAAACTAGTCAAAATATGCACCAACTCTTAGCACAATATGGGTTTTGGCCATGCCGGTATACATTGTTGAAATTTCCAGATTGTACATAATTCTGTCCATCAATTGATTAATTCAAACACCGCTGTTAGCTATGCATCACCACCACTCTTCATCGCTACTGACAGCCAAAATCAAATTTCTGAAAAATTAGATTCCAGTGAGTTCTGTGATCACCTGCAGAAGACCTGTGCATCGAGGTCCTTCCTGATGGCGTCCGCTCGGAACCTCTTCTTATCATCGTCCCAGAACTTGACCTCCAGCATGCAAGCAAATTAGTTCGTTGTAGCCTTAACACAGCCCATTTCAACAGTTGAAGTCAAGGAGCAAACCAAACTGCGAGGAATTGTGAACAGCTGACAGTGTGACATCCAGTGTTGATTTTCACAACTACAAACTTGCAGTGGAGTCAAAAGCAACCGGAATGTATTTTCTTCCTCTCCAGAAACTGGTAGGATCACTGGCTTTGAATAGAGGAAAAAATTCAGTTACAAGTGACCTCCTTTTTTAAGGAACGAAGTCGAAAAACCCATTCAACCTGGTTGGTTTGTCGAAACACAAACACCAAAAGGAAATCGAAAACTGATATCACATACAAACGTGTCAACTCAGTTGTTACATTTGTATCCTGGGGTTCATGCTCCAGCAGGTCAACCAGAAAGCAGAAACGACTCAAAAAATAACAAATCGCATTCTTCACCATATACAGAGACCAAGACTGAACTTGTCAAGAACCAGGTCCCAAAACCGCAATACAGACTACAGTGCCCCCCCCCCCCTCCAAAAAAAGTAAACACGTGGTCATATTTCAAGTACAATACATTACAACAGATCACTAAACAAGCTCACCGGTCACCGGGCATTAATGCGCAGAGCTCCTGGGCTGGCTCGAGGGTCCACCTCCATAGAGCGTCTGATACACCGGTCGGATCCTCACAGTCAGGATCACGCTCAGAAACGTTCCCAAGCATGCCATGCCTGACAGCACAAAGAACGTGAGCCTGAAACAGCTGGGGCCGTAGCATACCATGACATGGTCAGAGCCCGCCACTGCCGCGACGCTGTGCTGTTTTGCCGCTTCATGATCATAGACATACCCGGCGAGGCTGCTAAACACGAGCGCGCCAAGCGGGTTCGCCAGCAAGATGAAATTGTAGATCTTCCCAAACTGCTTTAGCCCAAACAGCTCCGATGACGTCGACACCATCACCGAGAAATGGACACCGTAGCAGACGCCGAGTATGGCAACGGAGATGTAGAGCGTGGCTTTGAGACCCAGCGCGAAGACTAGGTAGTTGACTATCATCACCACTTGGGTGCATGTGATCAGTACTGTCCGTGGAAGTGTCCTTGACCTGGAATATAAGCTTTGGTTAACCAACCGCAGGATGAAAAATTAAATCAAATTTAAAATGTGAACAAATGCATTCAACCGTGCATTGCATCCAAACAAGAAAGTTTCTGGTCGTATATTTATATTTCATACACAGTTGGGGCTGGGAACCTTTTTACTGTTCGAGTCTGTCAGAAAAAAAAATAAGGGAGAGAAATATTGTCAACCCATTGTTTATTGGCTTGTAATCTGAAGCTGGAATGGAGGCTTTAGTAATTCAGTTAGAGAAACAGTTTGATCCATAGCCCACGGCAGACATAACGTGTTCCTTTTTAATATAAGAGGTCAACTCATTCTTTATTAGCTTGTAAGTTGAAACTGGACTGAAGGTTCTAACAATTCCATTAGGATAATGGCAGAAAAATATTTTTGTTTGAAAAAAAATCCATTGGTTACCTAGCTAACTTGGCATGCCACACTGTCCAAAAAACAAACAATAAACAACCACATGACCAAAAGAACTCCATGAAACTGGTAGAGCAACTATGTAGACCAACTGGTGCTTGGACAGGTAGATGAAAGTACACCTTGTTTGGCAATTCAATAAATAAGAGATTCCATTACCTGACAAAATAATCAGAAACAGCACCGCCTCCTAAGCGGCCAAAGAAGTTGCCCAAACTGAAGAGAGAGACTGATATAGTAGTGCCAACAACACCTGCTGCAGTTCCAACTTGTGCTAGATTGTTAAGAACGGTGACTCCAGACCCAACACCTATAAAAAATACTGCAAAGAGCAGCCAGAAATCTGCCTTTAGCAGAGCTTCACGGAACCGGAAGTCCTCTCCCCTTTTTGGTCTTCTTCTCTTCTGCTTCACAGCCCCTTCACCTTCAGCTAAGAGAAGATCAATATCTGCAGCATCCTCATCTTCAATTTTGCCGAAGTTCTGTTCCGAGGAAGAAGGCAGAAGAAATGGTTCTGTGTGATCACTGTCAGCAGCAGCAGAAGTGACTTTCCTTGGGACGCTTCGAAACAATGTCATCTTCACGGGTATCGCAAACGGCGCAAGAATGAGAATGACCATAATAGCAATCAAGGAATAGTTCAGAGCAGGGGTGAGAGTCACAAAACGATCCAATGTCGTGGCGCAGACAAGATAAACCCCAAGAAGAGCACTGTTGATCTGTACGAACAGGAAGTGAACTCTCTCTGAAGAATTCTCCACCAGAGAAGGCTCACAAGGCTTCACAAAGTACATCGCCAGAAGGCACACGATGGCAACTCCCAGGGTGAGAAAAAGCAGGAGGTTTGCAGCTGAACCGTGAAGCGCACCGGTGTAAATGGCAGTGTAGACAGCCGCACTCAGACCAGAGTAGCCCTTGAGGATGCCGGCAACAGCCCCTCTGCTGAGTGGGAAGTTCCTCATGTTGGTTACTAATGCGGCGGTCGACATCCACGCACCGCTGTTCGAACCCATGCATAATGCGATCCATATCTGCAATAGGGCCAAAGCAAAGATTGGCACTAGTAAATTTCCACTATATGGTGATCAAAGTAAAGAAAAAGAAAAGCTAGCCTAGTAAGGCCAATCTTCCGCGTAAATTAAGTAAGATGTCCTCAATATGTGGCTCTTGAGGTGATGAAAGCTTCCATTTTGTAAAGAAAATTATGTGGCCATCAGGCTATGCGCATATCGCCCGGCAAATGAAGCCAAAATGCAGGTGATACTTTTTCGCCCAATTGCAATCGAGGATTAACTTTTCGCCAACAGTTGGTATAGGTTTTGTTTGTGGAATCTTAGAAAGGGACACTTGTTTAGCTGGTCCCAACTAAGCATAACGCCTTTCCCCTAATACTATCGATTTGTACAATGTAACCCAGCAGAGCAATTGAAGTGTAAGATTTCACGATCTGGAACCGATCTACAGTAGGGATTAATCTAGTAAAAGGGGATCTCATCGGGGAGCTCACTCACCAGCCAGTAGGGCAGCGCCGGGGCGACGCCGGAGACGGCGAGCCAGGCGACCCCGTAGCCGAGGAGGCCGGAGGCGGCGGCGACGAGCAGGAGCAGGGCCGGGTGGAGCTTGTTGCAGACGACGCCGGGGAGGAGGCCGAGGCTGTCCCCGACGTTGCAGGCAACCCCCAGCAGCGCGACGCGGCTCTGATCGGCGCCGAGAGCCACCTTGAGCGCGTGCGAGTAGAGCGCGAAGGCGGAGCTGGTCCCCGCCGACGCCTGCAGCCACACGGCCGCCCCGAGCCCCAGCCACGGCGGCCTGCTCCCCGCCTTCACCGCGCCCGGCATCCTCCTCCTCCTTCCCGGCCGCCGCCTCGCCCGCTCGCTCGCTCCCGCGCTCTCGCCGTCGCTACTTTCTTTCCGGGGGAATAAAGCTCTGTCGGGTGATGGATGGCGAGTCGGTGGCGACGGTGGCGGGTTTTAAAGGGGGGTTTGGGTGGGGGGCGGCGTCAGGCGTGGCAAAGGACTACGCAGGAGCCGCTGGCGAGGAAAGCGTAAAAAAAGCCATGGATTTGAAGCGGCGCCGATGGCGACGGCCGGCGCGGCGGCCGGGCAAGGCTCGAAAATGAATCTGCAGCTGATTTTCCGGCCGGGTGTGCGCATAGGCGTAGCGCCGCGTAGCCCCTCGCCAGCTCGCCACGACGGCTGGGGGAGGAAGTCGTCTTCTTCCTCTCGCGGTGGCGGTGGTGGTGGGGGGCGGCGGATTCGATTTAGTCCATTGATGAGTAATCTATTCCTCGTAGGAAAGATTTCACGCGCTGTGTTGTTCAGATAAGGAAAAATAGTGGACTTTTTGCAAAGGAAAAATGGAAAGCAAACAGTTGACCCGACGGAGGCGGTGAACTGCTGATGATCTGTCGCAGGATCGGATCGTCTTGGTGCGTGTCGTCCGTTTTTGAAGCTGGGTTCATTGAACCATCGATAACGAAACCGTCTGGCAGCAATTTCAGTTTTTGTGTCATTTACAAATGTTAATGTTGGGGCATCTTCAACGCTGGCCCTCAAATCGCCCGCAACACCTCTCCTCCTTCCTCCCTCTCCACCCTTCCTCCCCATTCCCTCCCTCCCTAGTTCTTCTTGCTATATGGATCAGAACATATGCAGCATTACTATTGCTATATGGAGCATTACTATTGTTCTTCTCTGAAACATTACCATTCCCTCCCTCCCTAGTTCTTCCTCCCCATTAATTTGCAGGATCAGAACAAGTTTGTAACAGGATGCTCTACAATGTTGATTAGGTGCATTACTATTGCTATATGGAGCAGCAATTTACTATTGCTATATGCTCTAGTTTGTATCAATGTGATTGTAGTTTTTCTTGTCATCAAGTTTAGTTGATGTTTATTTAAATATAGCTTATATGATCAGCCATTCTATGTATGATTGTGGCTTGAAGGTTCTGGAAGAACGTTTTTCCTTCAAATTCTATCTGGTGGCATTGTCCTAGACTCCCTAGTTGTGTTGTTAATTGTGCTTCTATTAAAAGAATTGGGAGTTACTCACTGTACTAGAACTCTGTAGGTTGAATTTTGGTTAACTAATACTGACGTTATGAGAATGTAAGCACCTATTATTGCTACTGATATCATTGGCTCATTGCTGCCTTTGTGCAATGCAGAACTGTTAAGAGTGATTTGGAGGATTCAAGATTCTGTGAAGCTCTTTTGACAAACTCAGAACTGAAGGTACTTAATAAACTCAAAAGCATTGATGATAACTCTTGTTGCCTAGAAACAGAGGTAGTTTACATATTGCATTGCTGGTGTTTGTTTATGTTCAGAGTTTAAGCATGTGTAGTGTAGTGTAGTGTAGTGAGCTTGTTCTAGTGTAGTGAGGTCTGAACCATTGCATGATGTAGTGTAGTGTAGTGAGCTCTGAACCATGTTTAGTGTTGAGTACTTCAAGTTTACTGAACCTATTCATTTTTGTGGACTTAGTGAACATGATAAGACAAGCCAGATGCTCTATTTTTAATTAACAGTAATCCATGATCAGCAACAGTTTATTTCTCTAATTTTCAGTTAACAGCAATCCATGATTTTTTTTCAGCTAAAACTATTCATGATTTTTTGTTGGGTGACCTATTAGATCTGGAATGGAAGCTCACATAAGTTGAGCTAATTTTGGCCATATGAAAGCAGAGGACCATATGGTCTGTGGCCTTTTCATCCATATGAAAGTAGAGGCACATTGTGGTGCTAGTTTGCTGGGTTTGTCTCCGACCATCGTATCATGATGATTTTGCAGGTACCCCGAGAGGCCCTTGAGTTTGCCGGAATGTCGATTAACTTCCGTTCCGGAAAATTCGGGTATTCCATATGTCTTATTTTCAGCAAAGGTCATGCTGAAATTTTCCGTGAATTTTAACATGACTTTGCTAAAAATCGGACATATGGGGTACTTGCTACTAATGCATGGGCCGGGGTATCTTAGTACTTAATTAAGTAGGATCAACTGCCCCGCCATTCTTGCTGCATTAAACCATAGGTGGCAATAGAGCCAAGTGATTAGGTGTAACACCCCGGATGTGATTTTCCCAATATGTACTCCAACTCTTGTCGTTTCCGGCGTTAAGTTATTTTATTTTCTCGGGTTCGGGTTTTTGTCTCCGTGTGTTATTGTCGTTGTCATGCATCTCATATCATGTCATCATGTGCATTGCATTTGCATACGTGTTCATCTCATGCATTCGAGCTTTTTCCCCGTTGTCCGTTTTGCATTCCGGCGCTTCGTTCTCCTCCGGTGGTCATTTCTATCTTTCTTTCGTGTGTGGGGATTAAAGATTTCCGGATTGGATCGAGACTTGCCAAACGGCCTTGGTTTACTACCGGTAGACCGCCTGTCAAGTCTCGTACCATTTGGACTTCGTTTGATACTCCAACGATTAACCGAGGGACTAAAAAGGCCTCGTGTGTGTTGCAGCCCAACACCCATCCATTTTGGCCCAAAACCCACCAAAACCCTCTCCATCATCTAGAGCGTTCGATCACGATCGCATGGCCGAAAACCGCACCTCATTTGAACTCTCCTAACTTCTCCTATGCCTATAAATAGAACCCCCACGAAAAATCCGGGTCTCTCCCCCGTCCAAACCCTAAAATCACCCCGCCGCCACCGGACACGTCCGGCCGCCGCCAGACGAAGTCGCTGCCGCCACCCGCGGCCACTGGCAGAGCGCCACGTGGCGCCGCCATCGCCTCCACCGCCGCGGCCCGGCCGGCCGGCAAGTCCCCCGACGACTCCGGCAACCTCCTGCTACAGTGCTCCGGTGGACCTCGTAAATCGCGCCCGGATCCCGATCTGGATCTAGATCTCGGTTGACTTTCTCCCGAAACCCTAGTCCATATTACCATGTTCATCGTGCCGTAACTTTGCATCCGTAGCTCCGTTTTGGGCATATAGCATATCAAAATGTTCGTCTCAAAGAGCACATCATTTCATCTCATTGCATCATTTTCATTTGAGCTCATCTTGGTGCCCGAAATGCTGTTATAAAAATGCTATTTGAGATAATTGTCAGATCTGCTGCTCCAATTAGATATTTGTCATTTTTGCCATGATTATTGTGTGCATGATATGCCCCTAAGCTCTTCATGAGTTTTGTTATATGTTTTGCCATCTATCCAGAGGTGCAACCCATGTATTTTTGTGATGTGTGTGGTGACTAGCACAAGCTTGCAAAGTGAGGCATTTGTTAATGCTGATTTCAGGGACTTAGCATTTCCACTAAGTCCTCGACCTGTTTATCTCATATGTTCATGTTGTTTCCTAGCGATCCGTGCCTCTTTTGAGGATGATCAGTAAGGATGTTTTGTTAATCTTGTAGTTCTCTATCCACCCATGTCTTTGTTTGCAATTATGGAGCACCCTAGCTTGAGTCAATCGAGCTCTACTTTTGTCATTTCGTGAATCTGGGCAGATTGTCTACTTGTTAGCGATTTTGCCGAGGATGTTGTAGTTGATCCGTGCATGATATGTTATTGTTCTTGCCATATCTAGCTTGTATTTTGTGTATTCTTGATGGGTATATGCTTAGATTGTCATGACTTGCTCTGTAGTGAGTGCATCGAGCTCGTAAACATGCCCACTTGATATCTGTTTCAGCATGCTCCAGTTTTCATTAAGTCTGAGAACTGATTATGTTTTTGCCATGTTCACATGCTTGCAAATGTGTTTTCTGATCCCTGTTGGCTCAAGGTCACTAAGGGCTTTTGTTAAGCTCTTTGAGTAGCTCCATGCCATGCTTTACTTTGCCATGTTCAGGACCTGTAGCATATTGTTTTCATGCTCCAAAGAGTGCTATCTGATCTGAAATTCCAGACAAGTGTTAATTTCACTAAGTCTGAAATCTGTTTACCAAATGCATTTTTGCCATGCTTTTTGAACCTGTTAATGGATGAATTGGCCGTAGCTCAGTGCTAGTCTTTTGTTAACCATCATGAATGGATCCCTGCCATGTATTTTGATCCTATATTTGAGTGCTGTAGCATGTTCATCTTGTTGCATTTAGATGGCTACTTGCTGTAAATCACATAACGTGGTCATATTTGAATTGCTTGCCATTTCCAAACCGTAATTCTGATTCCGACGTTCTTTATATCGTTTTCAAGCGATTATATCTCATCTTTCCAGTGGCACACTTAGATTTCCAAGTTGAGGCCAGGTTCATTCATTCCTTGCCAAATCTTGCATATGCATCCCTTATTGCATCCCGCATAGCATACCATGTTTGCATCATGTTGTTTGAGTTTGCACGTGGTTGATTGTGCTCCGTTTGCTTGTTTTTCTTGTTTGGGTAGAGCCGGGAGACGAGTTCGCTAACGAGGAGCCCGTTGAGTTTGCTTTCGAGGATCCAGTCAACTCTGACAACGTTGCAGGCAAGATGATCATATCCTCGAAATCACTACTATCTTTGCTATGCTAGATGCTCGCTCTTTTGCTATGCCTATGCTACGATGCCTACCACTTGCTTATCATGCCTCTCAAATTGCCATGTCAAACCTCTAACCCACCATGTCCTAGCAAACTGTTGATTGGCTATGTTACCGCTTTGCTCAGCCCCTCTTATAGCGTTGCTAGTTGCAGGTGAAGATTGGAGACCGTTCTTTGTTGGAACATTATTTACTTGTTGGGATATCATTATATTGCCTTGTTATCTTAATGCATCTATATACTTGGTAAATGGTGGAAGGCTCGGCCTCTCGCCTAGTGTTTTGTTCCACTCTTGCCGCCCTAGTTTCCGTCATATCGGTGTTATGTTCCCGGATTTTGCGTTCCTTACGCGG